AGAGAGAGAGAGAGAGAGAGAGAGAGAGAGAGAGAGAGAGAGAGAGAGAGATCCTAATGGAGTGGAAACATGAATGGTTGTGGGTGTGCTGTTGCTGGAGGCAAAAGGATAGGATGGGTCAAAATTTGAGGTCATTTGAATTTGCTTTACTTGGTCGCCATTGCATAATGCACACTATCTGGTGTTGGAAGGCACAGGACTTGCCTCGGCGCTGTCAACATGAAAAGCATGAGTTCATAACTTTATACAACTATCCCAATAAAGCAAATGTTTCCATGGTCCCGTGTTCACTGATGATGTAACGCTCGTGTAACACTCTTGTCCCTTATACAACGACACAACACACCAGCACCAGGCAAGATTGCCTGGTTGATGCACATACCTACAGTTGTGTCGAGAAGCTGGGGGCTGTAAATCACTGTGGAATTTGGCATGGAAAGCAACTGCACAGTCACTCTCTGAGTTGTTCCTTCATTTGCATTTATCGTCCGTGGCGCCAGCATCACTATTGGATCTTTGATGTTTACATTCAGAAGCTTCCGCGTTGTGTCCGCTCGCCGTGTTGTGATTCCATTTGCAATCGCCCCATCAAGTACAGCTCGCTTCACATCGGCTTGCCGGGCGTCGCTGTTGGCCGGATTGCTCAAGTACAGGGCGATGATCCCACCCTGCCGAGAAAGTCAGCAATGCATGAGTGAAAGTCAAAGATGAAGACTTTGACTGTCCTTGGATGAATGGGCATGGATGCAAAACATGAAGCTGACACAAAAGTGGATGAGTGCACGAAGAGTTGTTGAAGTAACGACACGAACTTGCAAAGTAGTATCAATGCAACATCCATGCAAATCCCACGAGTCCAAATGCCCACAAAAAACAACAGGCATTTCGGACCAAGTGAGCATTTCACCAAACATTAAATAGTAACTGTTTCCAATCACGCAATAAGGTAGGCTATTCTTCTGGGCGCCCCGGCACCTAACTTGTGCCCGGATACACACCCAGGTGCCCGGCCAGGCATGAACTCCGGGCAGGGTTCTGAGTGGCACCAGCGCCAAAAAGAAAAATAAATAAATAAAAAATCCACAAAAACAAAATGTTGTGCACAATTGCAATACAAATGACATTTGCTGAGGGTCACATCCGAATTCCTCACAGAATCCAAGATAAAAAAGAAAACAAGAAAATCAGAGTAAGACGCCCCCCTTTCAAACCCTTTAGCCCATTAAAAACCAATTTATAGTATTTATACCCCCCTCCCCCCCCCTTGACAGCTTACACTCGAAATCAGAAATGAGCCCGGATTTGGGCTCCTCTGCACATGAGCAGAATTTGCAGAAAACCCTCACCAAAAAAAGAATGTAAAAGGAAAAAGGGCTGACTTTTGCCTGCACCGGTGCCCCGTCCAGGTGACCCCCAGGCGACTTGCCCAGGTTGCACGGCCAGGTGAGCCAAGTAGCTTAGGAAATAACTTCAAATAACTTGAAATAAGCCATTAAACCAAGGATTTTTAAAATTTTCACCAAAAATTGAAGTTCAAAAGACTAAGGGCATATTCACATGGGGACCTAAAGTCGCAAAAGACTCGTAAATATCTGGGACGTTTGGTACCATGTATTTGCTCCTTAGGGTGCCCGTGTGGTCACACGCACGTTCTCTGTCCACAAAGGACAGTCGCGGCCCTGACATTTGCACCTCCCAGGAAGTGCACGTAGTCACATTGCTTATCCAAAAAATATATAGAGTTCTTTTTTTTTTTTTCAATGCTGAACTAACACGCACGGCTGTTTTCCTCATGCACAAATTTCTTGAAATACCGCACGGAGAAAGAAAAAATTGAAACGGTAATTTGAGACCACCCCTGGAGGTGGTCTCGAAAAGGGTCCTCCAGCGGCCCCGCTGGCTGCTGACAAAAGGGTCACCAAAAAGTACATTTGGGTAGCGGGCCTCCCCAATGTGACCCGAAAACTGCCTCAAATTTTGGGATTTAAGGTCATCAGGTCCCTGTGTGAGTATGCCCTAAGGGCATAATACTCACACGAGGACCAAAAGTCTCAAAATTTTGAGGCATTTGGGTAGGCTTATTTGGGACTCCTCATGTGGTCACACGGGCGGACTTCGTCCAGAAAGGACGGAGTCGCGGGCCCTGACACTTCGCCCTCAGGGGAAGTGTGCGTAGTCACACGGGTGAGGACCAAAAGAGTAGATGGATTTTTTAATTTTCTTTTACACGCCAAAATAACGCAAGAAAGTAGATGGATTTTGTTTTTCTTTTCTTACAACGTACATGGGCCTCGCTGCACTACTCTCCAAATGTGCAAAATGAGACTGAATCAACCGCTAGAACATAGATAGATACACTGCCATCTTTTTTGTCTTTTGTTTGGCAGGCTGTTTTCTTCATCGAAGATTTTTGGCAATAAGATAAGATGGGAAAAAGAAAATCGAATGGTCATTTGATGATTTGAGACCACCTCCATAGGTGGTCTCAAAAAGGGTCCTGCCGTGGCCCCCCAGGCCGCTGACAGAAGGGTCACCATTTGAGGCATTTGGGTAGCGGAACTCTCCAATGTGACCCGAAAAATGCCTCAAATTTTGGGAGTTAAGGTCATTAGGTCCGTGTGAGTATGCCCTAAGTCGGAGACGATTAATCACTAATGCTTAGCATTAACCGTGGGAGTTGGAGCATACAATGGGTCCGCTTGAGTGCAAATGTTTCTAAACATTAAACCACCCAACAGCCGCATGCGTCTACCTAAAGTTGCTGCTGTATCTGTGGAGCCCGCACTTTCAACGTCCCAGCATGTCTTCAGCCACTCCTGTACATAATGGATGGGACATTTTTCGTCAGGTGGTTTAAGAGACTGGTAAGCCTATAATTGTGCCTTTAGAGTCAATCATCTCTCTGTGACGGGCAACCTCATGTCGAAAACTGCTTTCCTATCGAAGTGGAGCGTAGGCCCGGGAAAGTGCTAAGAAGGGGGTGCGCAAAAAAAATTAGGAAGGATGGTGGCTGGAGTTCCAGGTTGGAACTTGAATCTCCATGTATTGGTTACAGTATGAATGGCGAGAACAGGAAGATGACAACAATTAACAGGTTTGCAGGGACATCAATCAAAATCCAGGGTTCTGAAAAAAAGGAGAAAAGACAACTTAAAGCTCTGCGTATTCAAAAGTAAAAATCACAAATGGGTATCGTGTCGCCAATGCCTGCATTTTCCTGGTTGAAACGGGACTGGTGTACACATGGGATCACAAAGGTCAGTTATGGCGCATTTGCGCGTTCGGCAGAGCTCGGAGTCCGAGGCAAAAGGCCGGAGCTGGTCTCTTTGTTCTCATAAACCCTTCCGCCTCTGCGAGGCACACTGACCCAACCTTGCTGTCGGTCGCGATTTCACACCAGGTCCTACAGTCGGCGAAAGGGGTTCGAGGCCAGAAAGGGCCTATGGCGGGCTGCGGAATAAGTGTGACGTCGCGATAGGGGCAAAAGAGAGAATAACGGGGAAAAGCAGTGTCGATGATGACGGAACATGCTCCAACAGAACTGGGACACCAGGACTTGTTAGAGAAGAAGTATGGCTTGTAAATCTCTGCAGCCATTCACGTACATGTGTCCTCATATCTTGACCATTCGTGGGCATGTGTGAATACGGGGTGACAGTGGATGACCCAGTGAGTTGAAATTGTTGGGAATATGCAAACATGGTTTTAATCTAAATCGATTCTTGTGCGTTCATGTAACAACAGGAAATCACATCTCCTATGCTCAAAGATTAAACGTCCACACATCGTTAATCACACGTGAGAACAACCACTTAGAAGAAAGGAGCTACCAGTCATTCAATTCCATGCAAAACAGAAAACACTCAGGTTCAAGCAATCCTCATTCCAGATTTCGAGCCAAAATTTTGAGAAGAGAACAGATCACCTTGTTCTTGTGCGTTCATGTAGCAACAGGAAATCACATCTCCTATGCTCAAAGATTAAACGTCCACACATCGTTAATCACACGTGAGTACAACCACTTAGAAGTTAGAGGAAAGGAGCTACTCGTCATTCAATTGCATGCAAAACAGACAACACTTAGGCTCAAGCAATCCTCATTCCAGATTTCGACAGACAACACACCAAAATTCTCAGAAGAGAACAGATCACCTTTACATAAAGGATAGAGAAGAAGACGAATGCCAAGGAGTAGCTCTCACTTCCATCAAAAGAAGCACTGATAAGGCGAACCACGTTACTCCACTTTCCGACATATAGCACCTTCCTCGTAACCACTCAATCCTACCACCGATCCGTGATCGCATGAGAACTGACAGTTCCTCATTGCACATTAGCCGAAACCTTCAGCCATCGTCACCCCGCAGAATAGATGACCGTGCAAGTTTGCATATGTCCCACAGTCCGTCATGGCGGCCGGGCAACTTCACTTGATCATGGTCAGCACATCAGGAATTCCCGACTCGCTGATCACACCAATATAAAGCCAATCGGCTCAGAGAATAAGAGAATGTTGCTGATCACACCAATATAAAGCCAATCGGCTCAGAGAGTAAGAGAATGTTGCTAGCCAGGTTTATAGTGACAAAGAGGAGGAAGAAGGTATGCATGGCGAAGGTGTGTGGAAAAGGGGAGGGACATAGGATGAATAGAGGAGGCCTGTGTGGAATGTATAAGGGGCATGGCGAAGATGCGCAGAAAAGGGGAGGGACATAGGAATAGAGGAGGCCTGTGTGGAATGTATAATCAAAACTTGGCATGGGGTATGTAGCTTGCTCCGCGTGACAATCTGACCTGCAACGCCATCAGGTCAATCAGATTGGAAAGAGAGGGGGGGCAGGAAGAAGAGTTTCAAGAATCAGGTGAGGTGGAAGAATGCACGGGAGAGGTAAGCAAGAAGCAGAGGGGCCAGAAGGCAGGGCCAAGTGCGCTCAAAATTCTGGCGTGTTAAGAAGTGCTAAAGTAGGGAAACTGGCTTGTAGGCACTAGTGAGAAATCAAGAAGATGCGGGAATGAAAAGGCCTACCGCAGGAGAAGGAGAGGAGCAACGCCCGAAATCCGAAGACGCTGAGGCGATTATGCAGGCACAATCTAAAATAGATTAAAACCCTACGCACGCTGGCGAAGTCGTGAAACAAAAAGGATATGAGCAAAAAATCCTATCTGTCTTCCAAACTTGAGAAAGGACAGAAACAAAATTGAAAAAGTCTGCAAAACGTTGGGAGGAGCCCAACGCAAAATATGTCTAATTCTCTCTTATATACACCCCCACAAAGAACGAAAACAAAAAGGGGCGCAAAAAATGGAGCGTCCAGTATGAGAGTGCGTCACATATGTGAGGGGCAGAGGGAGACAAGGGGGGTGTTAGGGGAACGCAGGAATGGGACCCCAGATCTACCCAAAGCTCCACAGCATGTCAGGCACCCAGTAACAAGGCTGAAAAGGTCAAAAGCTACAAGGCAGGTAGCAAAGGTGCTAGGAAACACAAACATCGCCAACTGGGTGTAGCTCAGTTGGTAAGGCGTTCAAGCGGCACTCAGGAGGTCGTGGGTTCAACTCCCATTGCCCCCACGATAGTGCCTGTGGCATGCTTGGTGTCATGCCTTCGAGACGGCCAGTTGGTAAGCAAGTGCGTGGTAGCTCAGTGGCCAGAGCTCCGGTGTTGCAACGGGGAGGTTGCGGGTTCGACTTTGTCAGCCCACAATTTTCCCCGAGCACAATTGGTTGGTGTAGGTCGCACCCCACGTACTTGTCCCGAGCCTGGCATAGCACCTTTACAGACTAATGACCTCAATAGCTCAGTGGGTAGAGCTCTGATATTGTAACTTGGAGGTCCCGGGTTCAACTCCATACTATGCTCATCATGTCTATATATATACTGTTCGTCATATCAGCTAGGAATGATCCTCTGGACAGATTTGGGTGGGGACGTGTGCCTCTCCTGCGGAAGAGCTGATGTGGGATGGATGCTACTCTCTTTCCGGCCGGAGAGTGGTAAGGCGTTCTTTGGGTGAATGGTGATACCGTGGCAGTCCTTTGGTGGCAGGGGTGCCTTGCAGGGAAACCAATGTCGAATCAAGAGGTGTGTCCTACTCTCGATGGCTATAGAGTCTAGACCCATTCTAGGGGAGTGGGTTAGCAGCGGTGGGTCGGGGGTTGTTGATGAGGGTCGACGTCTCCACCATTACCACTGGTCGATTCTCTAGCGAACAGACATAAGCAAGGCTCATTAGTAGCAGAAAGCAACCACATACATCCATTCAGACTATGATATCACACTAGCTCACATAACAACCAGCATATTCAACAACCAACAGTAGCCATATATGAACCACGCTATGCTGGGTTGGTGCTTAGAGGCAGGGGGCCTCATGGGTTAGACCTTGGTTAGCCGAACATTAGACACTGCCTATATGGGTGCCCTCACTGCTCACGGGACTAGTTGAGAACTTCACGCCTAGCTCCAGAGGTACCCGTATAACAAGGCTTGTACGCAGTTATGTGCCTCAACTGGGGCTGAATGGGGGAGCTCATTCAGCGTCAGTGCCCGCGTCTGCTGTCTGGTCAGGTTGCTCCAGTAGAGAGTGATGTTCGTCGCATGAGGTAAGATAGAAAAGGAGTGGTGGGACTTGCCGGTGGAGTAGGAACCAGACTGATGCTCCCCAGAATGGAAAAGGAGCCTGGGCTATAAGGTCCAGTTTTGTAAAAGAAAAAAAGAAAAAAGAAAAAAAAAAAAGGAGTGGCGGTGTGCCAGGAGATATATATCGAGAGAGGTGGTAGGATGGGAGTCTCGTGAGTATGTTTCTAAAAAGAGCGGGGATATGAAGGGCAAGCATGGGTGGCTGGGAACGGGGCAACAGAGTTGGGGGACCCGCTGTTGCTGGGACCTGCGCAACCCCAACACCTTCAGAACAACGAGATATATTCTATAGCAATACTGCGGGATAAGGGTAGGCAACCTTACAAAATTGCAACAAGGGACCAGGACCTCGATTTCAATTCTTGGAACTGGGAACTGCCGGCCCATCGTAGCCTTCGCCAACCCCGACCGATGCATCAGATTACCACCGAGAGTCTTTACTTGGCACAGCTGTGGGGAGCTCAAGAATCGGTGGGCCAAGCTCTCTTGGCTGTCAGACCAGGGATTGAGCTCATGGACCGAGGAGGGGTGGACAGCCTACTGGTCCCGGATCTATAGCCTCCCGATCAGCGCCAGGCTGGCCTCCTCTGGCTACTAGTCCACCTCGATGTGCTTACCCAGCAATGGATCGTAACAACGCCGCCACAAAGATGCAACATGTCCGATCTGCAGAAAGGAGGAGGAGACTTTGGCACACACAACGATAATGTACAGACTGTACTTCAACCGGGTAACCAGCCCGGAAATCATACCTCGATGTGGTGGCCCGTGGATAAAACCGTTGGATAAGCAGTTGTGCTGGATGAGAGCGGAGTGTGCGACTACTGCCTGTGTGGCGGATGCCTTGTGTGGTGTTGTGTGTGCGTGTGTGTGAGTTGAAGGACACTACAGCCATGCAGGGGTGGGGTGGATATCACGACCGGCATGGATCCACTTTTGTACACCGTGTCATGGCTGTAGTGGATAAGAGACTTGGCTCTTGAGGCTGAAGGCACCGGTTCGAATCCGTGCTTGCACGGAGGAGGTCCTGTGGCTGATAATGTACAGACTGTCCGGCAGTGGGTAAGTTTTGGGAAAGATGGGACCAGGCTATTAGACAATATCATCTGCCATTCACCCCGTGTCAACAAGGCCAGATGAGGGTCGGCCAAATCCTCCTGGGTTCTCTAGTTAAGTCTAATGAGCAGGACTACACACAGGAACAGATGCGGGCGATGGAGGTATTGAGATGCGTCGTATGGTTCTACAGGAACGGTCCGGTCCGGGGAGGAAAGGGATCCTCCTCGGCCAAAATTATGGTGTACCTACAGGATAATCTCAGATACACACTGCAGGTGGACTTCAATCGGGAACACAGTTGGCTACGCACAGATATGACGCTTAAGTGTTCAGGATTTGACCGTACCTGGGCTAGATACCCAGGCCTCCTCTCCTTGAATCACAGAGCAGCATCTGCAACTAACTGGTAGCCACAGCCCACGAGTAAATTGCAGAGGCTGGGCCTGTGTACACTTCTGGAAGGGCCCGGGGGCGGGAAACTGGGGCAGGGCACAGCCTGGACGCAGCCTCTCCAGCCTTATCATCCAGTGCAAATGAGAGGAGGCTTCCCAGGCTCACACATTCGGGCATTGTGCCAATGCGGCAGTAGCTGAGCGTTGGGCCCGTGGAAAGCTTCTGCGGTGGCAGCAGTCCCGTACCCTTGCAGAAGTATGAAGATGGTTCTCTGCGGTTCCTGTAATGCTCACTGGACACTCAAGGGCCTGGTACAAGTTGACCCGCTCAGGGCTGAGAGGGTGGAGCCACTGCTTTGTCACTTGTTCATCCCTGAAGAATGCAGCAGTTTCTGAAGGAATGCAAACAAGACGGACGGCATAAGGGCGTACTCACACTCATACATTTCTGACTTGTTTCTGAATGAACTGTAGCCAGATACATCCAGGACCGGCCGTCATTGCGGTCTGACATGACCAGGAATATCCTAGCATGAGTATCCTCTGACTCTCAAAGAGTGGCCGGAGAATGCAATCCCGTAGAAGGTGTGATCTCCAAATGCAGTCCAGAACAAGGAAATACGAAACAGGATATAGTAAATACGTGCCCACATGGCAGAATGTTTCACACATCTACTGACTCTTGATGAATCCGTCATGAGTACTTGAATTCTGCTGAATACAATAATGTTAGGGGATATCGCTTCTTTTTTTTTTTTTAAGTTAAAAGAAAAGAGGAGCAAGGCAAATATAATCTGGATGAGGTGCAGGAATAAAGGAAGCAGAGCCCACCACAAGAGGAGTAGCCATCGACGTTCCTGATAACGTTACATAACCATCATCGGCTTGGAAAGATGAACTCTCGATAGCTTCCCCCTGAAACATGACGATAAAAAAGGTTCGAGCAACAGTATGAAAACTTCTTCCGAAGGACTTTCTTGACTTGGCCCAGGTCCCTGACTACCGTCTTCACCTGAGTACAACGCCTGCTCATTGTGACTGCATCTGGACTGAAAATTGCACCAAATACGGCTATAATGACCAGGTGTTCTATTCGGGTGAAGACAATACTACACCGATGTTAGTGTTGACAAACAGTGTATTCAATAACGTTAGGAGCCACCCTTACCCCCTTTTTAAAAACAAAAAGAAAAAGACGGATATCCTTGACTTTGACAACTTTCCCCGCAAGGAAAGGTCTTGCTTGAAACAGCACGATTGGCAAGTAATGAAAACAACTAATTCATTCACGCTGCAATTCCACCCCTAAGTCTCTGACTGCTTGCTTGGAGCAAGGAGACGATCAAGAAGATATCAGACAAATTGACACAGTCGATTGATTACATCCATGCATGCCGCAACAAGCGGCACAGCGGTGAGGCCCCACTTGCACTGATTAAGAGGTTCTGAGTCGTCTGACGTTGGATGGACAGTCTCTCTTAGTCCGTACACGCGGGACCTTGTCCTGGGATTGGCCTACTTGCACATACCCTGCCTGCAGTCATTGATTGTTGTAGGACAGTTGCAAATTGATCCATCAGTTTGTGGGACCCGGAAGGTGAATCATCCCTCAACTATCATTGACAGAAGTCTGTTTGCGGGACCCGGCAAGCTTGCCTCATAATCAGACACCTCAACCGAGCAGCGCCTGGCCACACCAGCGCCCCCCGGTGTGACCAGGTGACTGATCAACATTCTACCTGGTATTGATATTGGATGTCAGCTGAACCCAGGTAGTGACCCCGGTATATCTGTGAAGGTACACCACACCCGGTTTCCAGCAGACGACGCTCCCCATCAATAGACCGGATCCTTCTGGTGGGGTGCTACCTTGGGCTGCTCTTACCACCCAAGGTAGCACCGCCAGCAGATAGTTAAGAAAGAAAAAAAAAAAAGAGTTCACAACCTCAAACCTTGAAGTGAAGAAACCACTGAGATTGTGATAGCCAAAACCTGTACCAAGTCCTTTGGGGAGCACACTAAAATTGGGACGATAATTACAGAAGGACAGCACACACCAACCGAGAAATGATGCAACTTTATTATTTCTTAACGAAAACAAAAACTGTGCCTATTACCTAATGCGTCATGGGCAACACCCAATACCTACTGCATTTGCAGAACGCCCTTTTCAATCACCAAATGCACTCTAACGGCTCCAACCCCAAGTTGAAGCAAGCAGAGCAGAATGAAGCCAAGGCTGCAACTTGTCCGTTCTTGACAATCCTCGTCATTATTCTGCCTCACAACCTGATTATCATCGTACAGTGGAGGTATATGAATGACTGCTCCCCCACTACCAAGATCCCACAACTTTAAAAAATTTGGAGTGAAACGCCAACACTCTATACCTTCATAATTTACCTGCTTGATCTCCCATCGCATCTATCCACCCAGATCCCACAGCTAAGTACAAAAGGGTGAATGATATGAGGATGTGAATGCCTCTTTTGAGGCCTTCCACCGCGCGCGCCTGTGAGGATGATGTACACTGGACCTCTATCCACAGCTTGCACGCTGGGAGCTGCACTCTATTATATGTTCCTGCTCGCTGACTGTCCTCCCAGGCCCCACCTCATCCTTCGCTGCTACCCTGCAGGTCTGCAAGCGGCCATGCCAGTGATAGTGATCTTTCACCACAGCCAGATGCTCCACACCTCTCCCCGCTACCCTGCACAAGAAGCAGTGCCATTGATTGTAGGCTTCCATACGGCTTTTACCACAGCCAGATGACCCCCCCGCTTCACTGCTATGCTGCAGGTCCCCAAGTGAATGTGGGCTCCGGTCCAGCTTTCACCACAGCCAGATGCTCGGCACCCTTCCCTGCTACCACGCAGGTTTACATGTGGCATTGTTAGTGATTCTAGGTTACCACCGTAGCCAGATGCTCCACCCTCCCTCCCCCGCTTCTCTCTCTCTCTCTCTCTCTCTCTCTCTCTCTCTCTCTCTCTCTCTCTCTCTCTCTCT